ACATAATAAAAAATAACGACTTCGTTCTCAATTCTTAATTGATTTGGATTCCACTCATAAAATCTAACAAGTGACAAAAGATGTAGTTTTTTCCATTCCAAAATGCTTAAATCCGCACCAATTTTATCGATTAGATTAAGTTGGATACATCACAACACTGAGCTTGGAATTCAAAAAGATAGTAGTAATGTACAAGGTCATAAGACAACCGATATTTTATATATAGAAAACCGAAAACGAAATTAAACTCATTTGGAGTTTGACTACAATACAATATTGTCAACGAAGCCGACAAAAAAGAATGGCTCCTAGACTTCGTCTTCAGTATTCTAACACAACATTAAACCTAGTAAAAGCACTTATTGAGCACACATGTTCTAGAACCATATAGCTCGTGCTTCAATGAGCTTTTGTTTCAGGGACCCGTCCACATGAAGAGAAATAACATCTCTTGCTGAACCCATATATTTATCGCCTACAAACACTGCAGGGATGGACGGATTACAACCAAGCCTCCGTAGGGCCCACTCCATATCCGCATCGTGATCAACTTCATGAATCGCAGGACTTGCACCAAGATCATAAAACAACGCTTTGATACTATGACACATACAACACGAGCTTTTCGTGAAAATAACTACAGCATTCTTGGACGCCAAATCTTTCACCCTATCCATTTATGATTGCTAAAAACTATCAATCAAGGTAAGATCGCTAACTTGTTTAAATTTGAAGTTTATTTGCATCTTATATAGGCTACACAAAGGGGAAAAGGAGAATCTAAACGCATTGAAAACTTGTAAAAAAAAAGATAAGTTTTTTTGTTTGGATATTTTAATTTAGAAAAGCATGGTTTGATGATTTGCTTGAAAACAATGATTTGTGTATAAACAAGTCGACACATGAGGAGCATATATTCTTTAGTTTAGTGGAGAAATATTATGTCAATTGTCAAAGGGGAAAATTTTGGAATCGTACTCCGCTTGCTGACATGTAATGATGTAAATTGTAGTTATTCAATTGTTATCAAGTAGAATCTATGGATGAGTAGATGTCGAATAATGTTCAAGAATCGAAGTAAATTTATGATGCCTTTTTATAAGGATACATTAGCCAATTGTTATGAGCCAATGAGTCTTCTGGATAAGTAACAATCAAGATGAACGTATAATGTTTTGGAAGAAACTCGGACCTGATAAAGAAATTTGGCATTTGAAGAATTTTTAACAAACCTATGCATGTACGATATAATTATAAAATCGTTACCTAACTTTCTCTCAAACTCAAGAACATGAAAAGTAAATATAAAATATAAACAATAGAACATAATTGTAAAGGAAGTCAACATAAACTTAACAAAATCATCACTTTTTTATATCCAAGTTATACATATATGTTCTTTATCTACATTATCTTCCTTGGCCCAATCTTCAATGGATGTAAAGATATTTAAAATACTTTTTAATCCTATGCTATTTTAATTAGTATGAAGTTTGGAAGATATCCTCGACTCGCTGCAAACATATGGATGTTTATCAGATACACTAATCAAAATATACTTTTAATCTTATCCGAACTGATTACCACCCATCTACCCATCTGATGCTTTAAACAACAGGAATCAAATTTATGCATATATAATTTAGCTATGATGTTGAAATAAGCATCTACATATTCCAAACTTCCACTTTCTTTTATTCCTAAACTAAAACGTTGGGAATCTTGATATGGGTAACATAAAAGGCTACATGATCTCCACATTTCAAGATGCCAAAAAGGGATTCATCACTAACCTAAACATTTACATGTCAACATGTATCAATAAATTTTCATTTATATACATGTATGAAGAAAAAGAAAAAGATAAAGATAAATTAGGTACGTCTAGGGGTGTAAACGAGCCGAGCCGAGCCCGAGCCTGACCAAGCTCGAGCTCGGCTCGTTTAATTATGAGGAAGCTCGAGCTCGAGCTCGAGCCTTAAAATGAAGCTCGAGCTCGGCTCGTGAACAATTTAGTGGGCTCGCGAGCCTAATCGAGCCTAAACGAGCCTCTATGTGTGTGTGTGTGTGTGTATATATATATATATATATATATATATATATATATATATATCTGTGTGTATGTGTATGTGTATGTATGTATGTATGTATGTATGTATGTATGTGTGTGTGTGTGTATATATATATAGGCTCGTTTAAGCTCGTTTAGGCTCGCAAGCCCATTAGTTGAAGCTCGGCTCGAGCTCGTTTAATAAACGAGCCTCATATTTAGGCTCGAGCTCGGCTCAGACTCGTTTAATTCGATCTTGAGTCGATCTTTTAACGAGTCGATCCTGAGTAGCTCACGAGTAGCTCGGCTCACTTACACCCCTAGGTACGTCATTGATGATCATGAAGTGACTAGAAATAGGGAATATATGAAAAGGCTCAAAGACCATCGGGTATGGCCACCACGCCAAGGGCATGGGGGCTGATGTGGCAACGCCACCTCTCCTTCCCTCTCTCATCGTAGAAGACAACACCATCCCTCCTAAGTGGTGGTGGAGTGGGTTATTGATGTGGCAGTCTCTTCAGGCCCTTGGCGTCGTCTCCATACCAAATAGCCTTAAAGAATAAGGTTGTGAAGCTAATTATCTTTGTGTGGCTGCTTCTCTTTTAATTAATGGTTATAATGGGTTAAGCAATTAAAGTGGATAATTATGTATGGTTAGTTTTTTTATTGAAGCTAGACTAAATGACTTATGGTTGGCGTACTAGTTGAAAAGCTAGTTAGTAGCTTATAAGTCAACTGATAAAAATAATGTTTGATAAAAATAGCTAATAAGTTGGCTCCAATATATAAAATGACATAAAAGACATTTAAAAAATTATTTTGTGTAATTAATTAAAAGTATATTTAATAAATTTTAAAAAGGCTCCTGAAAAACTAGTTTAAGTTATTGAGAAAAAAAAACTATTTTATAAACTATTACTTTTTAACTGGACATAAAACTTAAAAAAAAAACTCAAAATATAAACTAGTATATAGATAGTTATAACACTCCAAACACAAGCTATTGTAACTGGACATTACTTTGGAATGCATAACCTAACTTCTTTTTTTAGTTTATTGTAATTTAATGTTCGGTACGACCACAGAAATATCTTATAAACTAAAAGTCAGCTTTTCAACTAACTTACCAAACAAAACGTTAGCATTAGGACTGTTAATCGGGTTAACACGATCGGGTTTCGGGTTAAACGGGTCGGGTTAGTCGGGTTTTTCTAGAAAAAATATTCACCCGAAACCCGACCCTAGTAAGGTACGGGTTAGTCGGGTTCTGGTTAATCGGGTTTCGGGTTAGTAGGGTTGGGTTAATCAGGTTAGTGGGGTTGAGGTTGAAATGTAAGATGAATTTATGTTGTGCCATTTTAATACATAATCCACATGTATAGAGCTTAAAATGTAAAATCGGTATACGAAATGAATTTTTGGAGTTTCTTAGTAATGTAAACAGTGAATAAAATTGATAAAATTGTTAAAATTGTTAAAATTGTTACAACACAACCATAGTGCATTAAGAGAAGAGGAAAGTTGTGTCACTTTATACATCTCTATACATGGTAATTTTACTATCTGGTTTGTTTAAATAAGAAATATGTATTAGTTGTAAAATCTTATGGGATTTTGAATTCATGTCATTCAACGCAGTAAAAAAAGTTTTGATAATAAATTCTTAATCGGGTTATTTTGACCCAAAACCCGAATTGTTTTGAAAAAATCAACCCTAAACCCGACCCTAATAACAATTCGGGTTAGTCGGGTTAACCCGAATAACCCGGGTTAAGAGTTCTGACCCTAATAAACCCGACCCTAATTACCTTATTCGGGTTCGGGTCGGGTCGAGTTAATCGGGTTCGGACTTTTTTGACACCGCTAGTTAGCATGTTAAGTCAAATAAAAACATTTTTACCTTAGTTTATTAAGACACTACCCTTCACATATTTCTCATTTTTCCTCTCTACTCATGTTAAAATTTATTAATGTTGCTGATATGGATGAATGTTGTAGAATTAATTTTATGGATTGGAATGTATAGTAAATGATGATTTAGTCTCATTAGATGGTTTATTCGGTCCATTTGTAGACAACATTTTATCCATAAAGATATCGGTAGTTACTCATTCATTAAATTTACCCATACATGACTATATGGAGAAAAAGAAGCAGCCCCTCATTCTCTCTCGTGTGCCAATATATAATCCTCCACATTTTCACAACTTTACAAAAAGAAAAGCACCATTAACTAACGTGTCCACACTACCAAGCATCACATCTTGACAAAGCCAAGAATAATCATTAACCAACCGAACCATATTCTTTCTATCATGTTCATCAAATTCGATGTAACAAATGTTTTTTTAAAAATCTTTATATAAAGTTGTGATTTGTGATTAAGGCTTGTGTCAAGTGTTTTCTTGAAGATAATGGCCATGGTGACAAGGGTGGTTGCTGAAAAGCCTGTGGTTATATTCAGTAAAACTTCTTGTTGCATGTGTCACACCATTAAATCTTTGATTAATAGCTTTGGGTCAAATCCTGTGGTTTATGAGCTAGATGAACATCCTAATGGGCAGCAACTGGAGGATGAGCTGAAAGCACTAGGATGCAAGCCAAGTGTACCAGTTGTGTTTATAGGGCAACAACTGTTAGGTGGTTCCAATGAGATCATGTCACTCCATCTCAAGGGGGAACTAGCCCAGCTACTGAAAAGGTAAAGGTAATTGCTATATGAAGTAACAGTGTCTTGTTTACAATGTCAGAAACTATTATATGGGGTGTTTTGGCAGATGTTAGCCTATAAAATCTCTCTACTGTTTTCCTAATTGCTATATGTATCAAGAACATTCAGAAATGTATCCATGTCAATTTCATTTCAGGCCTTACATAATCTTTCAATCAATCAGTATAAACAATGAACAGCAGTGATTAGAAAGCATAATAACAAAGACATACAACTGATCATTGGTAGCAAGAATCATCTACAGGGAGAAAGAAGGATGACTATTGTCAACAATTATTCTTTGCATCAGAAAATATGAACAAATGATATGTCTTTAATTGATATAATCTTTCAAAAGAGGCCTATTTCTTTCTATGATTGCATTCCTCTTCCAATTCTCTACTGCTTTCTTAACAGTAGAATTGGCTTTTGCAATCTCCTCAGCAGAAAACTTGTGCTCTGTAATTCCTAAAGGTCCAGGTTGGAGTACTTTGACCACAGTCTCCATCTCATGCTCAACCTGCCTATAATAATAGAGTTCAAAACCACATCACACATCAGCAATCAAATTTAATCATACATAACTGTTCTTATCTGTTTCATACAACAGAATGCAAAGGACTCCTCTTTAGCTTTTGCATATTGAAATGAAAACAAACCCTAATAAACTAATTTGAAAAACATAATATGAACGTAATCCCCCAAGCAGTAGGTCGACCGATAACCTCCAAATTAAATTGTGCAAAGTTATTAACACCTCGCCAATTTACAGCAATAAAGAAACGGTAATTCAAGAAAACAGAAAATTGATCGACACAGAGTAAAACATACACGTTGGAGAGACGGAGTACCTAAAGAATCTCGAGAACGGAAGCGAGCTTCCCAGTCTGCTTAAAGAGATCGGCATATCGCGAATTTAAAAGTGCAATCAGAATTATAAACGATACCAAATGAGAAATTTAATGAAGAATTGATAACTGAGAAGCGAGAACCACCGCCTTAGATCTTGTGGATCAAATGCTGAAATTGAAAAGGGGAAAATGAGTTTTGTGGGTACTAATTTTTATTATTACGTACTACCTTCTCAAATAACCAAATTGACGATTAATGTGAGAATATTTTGAACTCTAGTCTAGAATTCTTACGATCAGCACACGCAACGATTCCCCGGCTTTGCGAATTAGCCGCCATACAATAAACGTTTTCCGATGTAGGTAGAGAGTAGAGATCAGGAGAGATTGTAGATGCAAAATAATAGATAAAATTACATAATTTGTCCATATGGCTTCCATATTATTACGTACTACCTTCTATGAAAAATGTCACCCCTTCGGTCCCTATGGCTTCCAAAATTGCATGAACAATTATTTTGGTGTTAACTTTAACTCGTAGTTTAGTTTTTTCTAGATGACAAAAATGCCCTTGAACCAAATCTAAAAATGACCCCTTCGGTCCCTATGGCTTCCAAAATTGCATGAACAATTATTTTGGTGTTAACTTTAACTCGTAGTTTAGTTTTTTCTAGATGACAAAAATGCCCTTGAACCAAATCTAAAAATGGTATATACATCAAAGATCAATTATGAAAATTATATATATATATATATATATATATATATATATATATATATATATATATATTGTAACGACCCAAAAATCAAGGATAAAAATTTCATTATAGTTAAACACAAATGCTACTTCATCCAATCATTCAAAAACATTGCTTAATTAAAACATGTATCAGAGTTACGTCCCAAAATCAAATAATGCGGAAAACACGGGTGTGTGCGCTGCGATCAAGACGGAACCTTCCTTTCCAAACCAACGATACCAGAAACCATAAACAAAAATGTAAGCACGAAGCTTAGTGAGTTCCCCAGAGCATACCCCACATAATCACATAACCATATCAATCGCATAAGCCATGCATATAAACATATAAGGATGTCATGGAAACCCTCCAAGGTCTTACACCGGGTGCCATGGGAACCCCCACATGGGTTTAGCCTACTGACATATAAATCATATGTACATAATCACATAAACCATATCAACCATACAAGTCATGCATATAAACATATACGGATGTTGTAGGCTCCCCACAAGGTCTTACACCTATGTGTCATGCACCCCCCCCCCCCCCCCCCCTCATGGTCTTACTTGGAATGCCATGGGCACCCTCACATGGTCTTATAACCAAGTGTCATGGGCACCCCCCATAGTCTTTACCTGGAATGTCATGGGCACCCCCACATGTTCTGACAACCAAGTGCCATAGGCACCCCCATGGCCTTACCTGGACTGCCATGGGCACCCCCACATGGTCTGACATCCAAGTGTCACGGGCTCCCCCCGGGGTCTTCCATGCAAGTATCACAGAGTCAACTAGCATACAACATATCACAGAAATAACTAGCATACCACATAACGCATAATAGCTAGCATACTACATAGCACATAATGGCTAGCATACTACATAACACATAATGGGCCGGCCATGGTGCCTTCGACCCATTGGTATGGTGAGGAGACTCACCTTACACTGCTGAAGTCATGCGGATAAAACTCCAGCTGCTGGTTGACAGATTCCCGAACTAGCAACATCAAAACAACACCCAATTAATAATTTGGTTCCAATACATAACCATAAGTCCATTCTTGGAGTAAAAAGACTTCTTTACCCCCAACCTAGCTTGATCCAAACCCAAGACCCAAACACACACTCTGAAGGCCCAAAAACCAATCAATGAACAAAGGCCCAACATATGGACCAATTTTCCAAATTGGGCCCAAACCTCTACATGGTCTTACCTTAGGGCCCAACCATTTATTCTAGTCCAAACACTTGGCACTCCGATGGTCCAATATCTCATAATCATCAAGGCCCAATTATGGCCCACCTATGGCCCAATTTTCCAAATTGGGCCCAAGCCTTTCCAATGGGCCTTATCCTAAAGCCCAATAATTTCCTTAATCCATAAACTTGTTCCCAATTTGGCTCACAAAGGCTCACAGCAACTTAGTCCAAGAAATGGCCCAACAAGAACCCAAACCTAATTAGGGTTTTTCACACAAAATGACGATTAGGTTTAAGTCTTCTTACTTAACCCATTAAGGACTTAATCCCTTAACTCCAATATTGCCTTAAGTTAATTGCAAAGGATTATTAATTAATATTTTAAGTCTAGTAAATGGTTCCAGTGCGGGTCCCGATCAATTCCAAAATTAGGGTTTCATGACATTAGGGTTTTCTAAACCCTAACTAGGGGTTCCAACCCAAATACTAGCCAATTAGGTCCAAAGATTAAGATTTAGGATAATTAGGGTTTCACCAAGTCGGGCACCACCCACTGCCACCTCGGGCGGTGGTGGTCGACGGCGGCTCACGACGGAAGCCACCACCTCGTGGCGGTGGTGGTGGCGATTTCCTTGATTATTCCGGCCAAAAATCCGATTATACAACATAATATCCCAAATAAACACACACATACACACAATATAACACACGCATACACACGCTCAACCACCCTTGTGGCGGCAGGCGATTGTCGGAGGTGCTAGCCACCACCTCACGGTGGTGGTGGTGGTTCTCTTTTGATTCTCGATCACACAATACATACACACACACTTAACACAATACAGCAGCGGCACACACACCCGGCTTGCGAGACACGAACACAACCTCCCTTCACGACGGCATGTGGCGTACATAGCGATTGGCAGCAGCTCTCGGCGACCGCTCGAAGCGGCGGCGGTGGCAATAGCACGATAACAGAACACGATGGAGAAGAGACAAGGTGTTGTGGTTCCTTCCGAGTGCAACAGTAGCGGCGGCATAAAAGAACATCCTCCCACTTGCGGTCCTAGTCGTTACCGGCAACGAGAAATGTGATGTGCAAGACGACGGCTCACCATGGCGGCGAGGTGTTGACTGATACCGGTGGTCAATGGAACAATGGCACTCGTAGCCCACCACTCCACAACGATCTTGAGCTATCCCGACGTGGGGGAAGAATGAAGGTCGACGACGGCTCCCTTGGTGGCCTTGGCTAATCATAAGGATGAGAAAGGGAGGTGGCGGCTGAAAGCTCACATATGGAAGGTGGCGGCTGGAGGATACTAGTAGGGTTAGGGTTTACACGATGCTATATATATGGAGGCTAAATAAGGGTGACAGGTTTATCCCGTGTTCACCTTCAAACATATGCACATTTTACATGTTTGGTCCCTCCCCATAAGAATCTTTTCAATTTAAGCCTACAATTTACAAAACAACCCCAACATCCAAAATTCATAACAATTCAAGTCCAATATTTACCAAACACCCCCTGACTTCCAAAATCTTTACAAAATAAATCCTAGAGTTACACTTTAACCCCCGAAAATCCAAATCATATCATTTGGCTCCCCGAAACCAACACCTCGCTAATTATTACTGATTTTGGCTACAATAATATAAAATAATAATAATAATTACATCTCGGGGTTTTAGAGTTTATTATTTATTTAATTTCAAACGGAATGTTATATATATATATATATATATATATATATATATATATGTTAGGTTATAATATGGATGACATCTATTGTGTGGATGTATGAATGAATATAGACCAATGGTTTTGGTTATTTTAAGAAATTGGTTTACTAATATTATTAATTTAAAGAAAATAGAATATATGTCATTTAATTAAAAAAATTGTAATATTGTACATTTGCATTATTTTCAAATTAGGAAACATAAGTTTAATTAATGAAATTTTTGGAATTTAAGGGATATTTGATTCTTCTTATTTTGAATTCTGATTTTTTTTAATTAATTCAATTTTAATTCTAACGTTATTTTTAATTTTACCCTATTTTTTATTCTTCCATAATGACATTCTAACATAATGATATTCTATGAGAATGCTAGAATACAAATTTTGCAGAGTAACATTGCATTTGAATAACATAGTATTTGAAAGGTAAAAATGTTAATGTAAAAGATATATGCTTGAGAATCTGTTTACACTTTTATACGAATGAAATTAAAAATACAATTATAAAGTGAAGTACATCAAATGAATTAAAAATCTTAAAAAAAACATTCTTGAAATTCTTGAAGAATCCTCATCTGCTCTTGGTTTGTTTCTAGTATTTATGTAATGTAACACGTAAAAAAGATTCATTTTTTAAATAACACCCTGTCATTGACTTGCAAACAAAATTACATAAAACACGTGTTCTTGATATCATATTATGTTAGAATGTAAAAGAAATTCTAGGTGAAATCCAAAAGATGTTAAATGTTTAAAGAACAAATACTATAAAATGAAATTTGATCCAATGTAATAACACCATTGACCACTTTTTGCATTTGTTTTTATCATTTAAGAATAAATCACTTAACTTGTTGCTAATATTGTATGGTTAGGCTTGATTCAGTTGCTTCCATCCTAAAATCATCAATCTGAATTGAATAAGATTCTAAGTTCCGTTAAGTAAAGACTAATAAAATAAGTGGAAACCAGAAGCAAGATAATTTTGGTGAAAGACCACCAAACATAAGGTCATGAACCTAAGGAAAGAGGAGATACTGATGCAGATTACAACCATGAGAGTTCATCATTACATGCCTAAAGAATATTAAGTGTAACATCACTGAAACAGAAAAATGAAACTTACAGCCCATTATGTCTTGTAAGTTGTTAAATAAGAGCACCTTTCTTTTTTTCAGAACTGTCATTGGTAAAGGTAATAGCAATAACTCAATAAGGCTTTTACAATTACAGAAATTTACAATAGGTATCATCTAAACTTATAGGGAAATGCCAAATAGTGTTGTTAAAGTTCTTGGGAAAAGGAGGGAATATAATTATACAAGAGATAAAGAGAAGTGAAGGTTTAATGTGTTTAACAAACAATGAAATTGGTAAGAGAACATCGATGCCTGCTTCTTCAAGGACCTGATGAATATAGTAAAGAACTCCATTCATGCCAGAGAAGTAAACAAGAAATTGACAAAATAGTTTGGATTTAATTGTAAAACCCTAATTACAAGGTGAAAACTAGGGATAAAAGATTTATTTTGTTACCTGTTGAAGTATTTGAAGACCGACTCCAACAAACAATGTATTCTTGACTCTTGATTAAATAATATCATACCAGTTTGCACCTTTTGGTTGCAGCTTCAGTCGGGTGACGCATCAAGCATGGTCGATCTTACTAGGTTCTGGTCCATGAGGTCTTTAGAGTAAAGTGCAGTCTGGCTCACCAAGG